ACAACCGAACTCTACTACTATCACATATAACATATCGTGCCAGCATATAACATATCAGGTAGTAGCAAACCTAGATGATATCACAAAGACAATCATCTAACATACAACTCCTACTGGTGGGCCGACATTGTGGCCCGCTACTGGAAGGTAACTCACCTCACACTGCTGAAGTCCCAAAGACACAATCCCACACTTGCCCGCATACACAATCCCACACTTGCTGAAGTCCCGCAGACTCGACCCCAGCTGTTGGCTGACAAATTCCCGAACTGTCAACACCAAAATAACACCCAATTAATAATTGGGTCCCAATACATAACCATAAGTATATTCTTTGGGTAATTACTACACTACCCCTAACTTGGCTTATTCAAGCCCAAGGCCCAATCCATAGGCCCTATACATGGTCTCATTCTAAGGCCCAACATCATATAATCATTAAGGTCCAAACTATGTCCCATCTATGGCCCAATTTTCCAAATTAGGCCCAAGTCCCTTACATGGGCCTTACCTAGGCCCATTAAATTACTCTAGACCATTTGCTTGATCTTAGATAGCCCATTTAATAACCCAATCATCAAGGCCCAATAAAAGGTCCAACAATAAACCCAAGTGAAATTAGGGTTTCATATAAAATGATGATTAGGGTTAAGTTTCCTACTTAACACATTAAGGACTTAATCCATTAAGTCCAATATTGCTTAGATTAATCTTTTCCAATGATTATTATTTAATATCTCAAGTTATTAAATAATTCTCGTGTGTGTGACCCGATTAATTCTTAAAGTTAGGTTTTCATTGGCATTAGGATGTTCCAATCCAAATATTAACCCATTTATCAATTTGTTGGCCTTTTATGACAATTAGGGCTTTATTGGGCCTAATAAGACCACTAAAATCTTATTAAGCCCATATGAGTTTTATTGGGTCCATTAGAGTCCATTAAGCTTCATTGGGCCCATTAGAGCTCCGTTGAGCCTATTAGGGTTTCTAGCACCCCAAACGAATCTATCACAAGAGGCAAAGCGCACCGCCGCCGACACGGCGGCTGGTGGCGGCAGCCACCACCTCACGGTGGTGGTTTTTGGTTTCTTTCTCATTATTCCATTTCCAATTACATTTTACAAGGCTAAATCTCAAGTAAACACACACACAAACACGGTGGTGCATGGTGGCAGCCACCACCCCACGGTGGTGGTGATGCCTTGTACTTAGAACTCCGGCCAAACACACACTAATGAAATCACACACACACAAAATTAACCCATACATCAGCAAACCCAACCATTATGGCAGTCCTTGAGGTGGCAGCCACCATGGTCGGCTGCCATGGTGGTTCTTCACAACTTCTATTCAACAGAACCCCCACACACACGAAAATTAGCACAATACAGTAGCATCCAAACCCGTTTGGGAACTACGAACTCAGCCACACCAACGAAGGAATGATTACACCACCCACACCCACACGTCCTTGCTCGGAGATAAACACAACCACCCACCTCACGGTGGTGTACGGAGAAGACAACGACACTGGAAGGCGGCCACAACGACATCTAACGGCGATGGCTAGCGGTCACGAATAGGAAATAGCAACAGGAGAACGGGTGAGGAGGATGAGCAGAGACCACCTTGGACTGAAGCACCATTGACCACTGGCTAGCGGCGCCTCTGTCTTCAACTGTGCGAGTGCGAGGGTCCGACAATGAAACAATAGCAAGATGTGCCTTCGCCGGTAGCCAAGCCATGACGGCATCTCGATGGTAAGGCAGCAGGTGGCATCGTTCGGGACTCCATCTGGTCGTCAACGGCTGATGGGGAGAAGTAGAAGGAGGTGCGCCGGAGATGGAAGGTATAAGGTGGAGGGGGTGACGGTTGTAATATGATTTAGGGTTAGGGTTCCTTAAACAATATATACCCGATGCCTTTCCAAAGTTGCTGACATAATGGCAGAAATGGCCCCTCTCCAGAATTACATTGTCAAATTAAATCCCATATTTTACCCTTTAAACCCTCAACATTAAATCCTTAACAATTCAGGTCCGGTTTCTACTAAAATAGCCCATCCCCTACAAACTATTTTCAAAAGAAGTCTCAATAATTACCAAGTAATCCATACTCTCATAATTCTTTACGGAACCCATATGAAACATACACTTTTAACCCTTGACTTCACAAATCTTTACAATTAGTTCCTCGAAATTACACCTTGCTTAATAATTATTGATTTTAGGGTTATACTACGATCATTAATTTATTTATTTATAATAAAAAAAAAATAAACGAGTGTTACAGATGATGTAATCAGTAAGTATCATCATTGAAATATTATAAGGGTATATCATACTTTTACTATGAGAAAACTAAAAAAACATCTTTAGTGAAGCAAAGGAGAGGAAAATAAGCCAAACGTTTTAACCTACCAGATTGACCATTGAGCTATGTTATAGAAGCTTTCTTGACCCCTCACGGTGGCTCTCTCACATGAAAACACAGAAATTATGGAATGAGATTCCAGTGAAATTCAAAATCTGCAAAAATAAATAAATAAATCAAATGGATAAAGAAATAGAGGAAAACGATTTCAAATTTTGAATCTTTTGGTTTTAAGAAAAAAGATCAAACGTCCATTGCTTTCTTACCTGAGCTGAACATCAAAGCCCAATTCCATCTTTAACATGTGGCTCTTCAAAACTCGGTTCAAAGAAACAACCACGTTTTAAGTTTTAAGATTGTTTTAAGATATTATAGAATTAACACACGAAATTTCATTACACATTTCCATAAATAAGCTAAAAGCTAAAACGTCACATTACAATAATCAAGTTCAGGGGATTTCAATCCTATCAGCTATTTTTGTGAGGAATTCAAGCCCAAAATTTTCATTCATCGCAACTTAATCCTCAACCAAAAAAACCCCACCAAAACCATGATTATACATATACAACCTTGCATATAGTACTACTCAAAATACTTTTTACATCAAAAAACTAACTCAATTGCCCTTTGTGATCTAGTAAAAACCTACAAATTAGGAACAAATAAGAAGCTCTAAAAACTCCATTTATGTTTAAAACAAATCAGAAGCTAGGTCAAAAACTTTACCTGGAATCAAAGAAAATTTAGGTTGTTAGCGATGATGGGAGGTGCAAGAATTCCAGTGGAAGTTGTTTGGAAAGTGATTATATTCAGTTTTTGAAATTTTGAATTCAAAGATCGCAACCATGCTCTGATGTTTGGTGTGTTTTAAATTCAAACGAAAAAGTCTAAGTCAAATATCAAGATAAAAAGAGAAATAAAAAATTAAATAAGCGAGATATGGGTCGGTCAAAAAGTCACGGGAATTAAGGTTACTTATGCATTGATTAATTGTATTTAATGCTTAAATATTTAAACTAAACCTCTTAAACTTTTATTATTATACTTTCTTTTATGTTCGGCTGTATTTTAAGCTTAAATATTTGGACTTCTTAAATCTATTTTTAGAAATAGTAATGTTTGTATAAATAACTAATAGCTTAAATATTTGGACGTCTTTTATATATATATATATATATATATATATATATATATATATATATATATATTACTAAAGAATTAATTATAAATTTGAAGATGTAGAACATAAAAATAATATATTAAAAATAAAAAGATGAAAAATAACATTTTACAAATAAAAAAGTTATAAATAAAATATTATAAGAAGTTAAAAGAGTAATATTAGTACATAAAAATTTCTACTTACCAACGGTGTATATATATATATATATATATATATATATATATATATATATATATATATATATATATATATATATATATATATATATATATATATATATATATGACCTTAAGAAAATACAAAAATATATAATAAAATATTTTTTCCCCACAAGATACAATAGAAGAATAAGACTATGATTTCTAATTTTGGTTTTATAGTTGTTGGGTTTAAATTTATCAAAGTACAGCTCCATTTACTCACTCTCTAAAATTATATGAATAATTACTATTCCTACAAAATAACAGCAATATTCCCTCATAATTTTCATCCAAATCAGGTCATCTAGACTGACTGGTTCAGACCTGGTCATGTAAGAGTCCAACTGAGTCGTGGACCCCGGTCTGGCCACCGAGTGCAGCTGTCCGAGTTGCCATTTTCATTTCGTGTCGTACCTCCTGCTTCTTTCTTAACCCCCGCCAAGAATATAAAACCCCCTAAAAAAAGATATCCCTTTCTACAGAGGCAGAAATACAAAATCCAAGTCGTATTACAATTTCCATTACATTAAGTATAAGTCGGTGAAGCTCTAATGCTCTGGAACTTTTGATTCCTGCCCTGGAAAAATAAATTACCTAAAAAAAGCAGGAAAGAGACCGAACTCTTCTTTTGAGACGCAACTTATGAACAAAAAAGAATTAACAATGTTCCTTGTGCATTTTTATAATATTTTTAGTTTTACATAAATCTAATTTTAGTTTAAATATTATTCGAAGGATGTTTGCATCTTTATTTTAAAATTACAAAATATCTATAATTATGTAATCAGTTACAATATATATATATATATATATATATATATATATATATATATATATATATTTCTTTAATCATAAATAAATAATTTTAAAAATTCTTATATGAAAAAGCTTTTTCTATTGACTTTATTTTAGATTTTTTATTTTAAAAATTCTTGTATGAAAATACTTTATCTGTTTACAATCTTATTCGTTGTACAATAATAATTATATTAATATATTTTATAAATGTTATCGGTACATTTTGATTTCAATATATATTAGTGTTATAAAAACTTTTAATTTAAAATAATAGTTTGTAAATTGAATATTTTTTTCCATTAAATATGCATTATGTTATTGTTATTAATTTAATTTTAATTCTTTTAATATTTCATTATCTTTAGAAAATTAAATTAATAGACATTGAATATAAAAGATCGAATGTCGACCACCACTTGCAATCAAAATAATTAGAATATTATGGAGAAAAAGATATTCAAGTAGCAATATATTTTCATTAAAATAATAGAAAAAAAGGGAATACAGAAATTTTTTTGAAAAAAGAAAATGAACATTGTTTGCTTCGATTCCGATGGGCATGGAAAAAGGACAAAATTCGCTTGTCTCAATGACAGTGCTCTACTCACTGATGCTTATTCTTCTCGCTTTTCTTCTGTCCTTTTCACGCTTCCCTCCTCCTCTCAATCACTTTCCCAAAACCCATTTCCCTGATCTTCATCCTCTCGATTCACTCATAACCCATCGTTGAATCATCTCCCATCAATCTGCTTTTACTTCTTCATCTGTATAGCCTTCTTTCTCTCTCAATTTCGACGTTCATTGAGTTTTCCATGCTTAGTCCCAGTTCCCGTTAAAGACCCAGATTTCCCCATACGGGTTCTTCGAATTAGGGTTTTTTTTAGTTCGTTTCCGTGTGGGGGAGACCTTGTAAAGGGATTTGTTTTCCAATTAGTCAAGAATAATGCCTGTTGCAGGCACTGGAATGGTTGCTGAAGAGGGAAGAACACCCTACTCGTTTGCTTTAGAATACGAAGGTCCCCCAATATCACACCATGATCTTCCGCGAGCTGTTCCAATTGATATTCGTAAGATTCCTGTGGCTGCGGTTGTTCACAAGTCACGTTTTCCTGATAACACTGGTAAACACTCTATGCCTATTGTACAACCCATTCTTGCATCCGACATCGCCACCAACTTCGCCAAATTAGGTACCACCGATACTATTATTTCTCCAACTTCTGTAATTTCTTTTAGAAACGAAGAAAATTGTAATGGTAATGATTCCGTTTCCAAAGACCTAGGGTTGGGTGCCGGTACTGAAACCGAAACCACTGTTTCTCCGGCTCATGACGGTGGGTTTGAGGAAAGAAGTTCGAGTAATCCCGACGTGTTCATTAGTTCAGGCGAGTTTCTGGATATGATTAACAGCTCGGCTGGACTTGGGTCGTCTTCTGTGAGCCAAGATCACTCATACGAGCTATCCGGCAGGGGTGAGAGTTCAGGTACTTTAGGATTCTCCGATAGTTTTGATAAGTCGAGAGATTTTTCCGGAAATTCACTAGCGTTTAGAGCTTCAAACGCTTGCAAGGAGAGTCTAGATTTCAATGAATTGAATCAATCCGATTGGGTGTCAAATGGGTCAAGGTTGAGCTTCGACTATCCATCTTCACGTGTCTCTTCTCTCAAAACTGGAGATTGTAATAATGAAGAACCCGATTGTGATAAAAGAAGCAACCCACTTATTACTTTTCGCGACATCGAATCTGAAGATGAAGATTTTCTTGATGATCTTAATCAACCTCAACCTGATATCGTACGTTTAAAAAGAGAACCAGAAGTGAAAACAAGAAAAGGGGCTTGTTATCGATGTCTTAAAGGAACCAGATTCACTGAAAAAGAGGTCTGCATAGTTTGCAATGCAAAATATTGTGTCAACTGTGTGCTTAGAGCAATGGGGTCAATGCCAGAAGGAAGAAAGTGCGTTACTTGCATTGGATATTCCATTGACGAGTCAAAGAGGGGCAAATTAGGAAAATGCTCCCGAATGCTAAAACGCCTCCTTAATAACCTTGAAGTTAGACAGATAATGAAAGCAGAGAAACTATGTGCTATCAATCAATTACCTTCAGAGTACGTTTGTGTAAATGGGAAACCACTTTCTCATGAAGAACTTTCCATACTTCAAAGCTGCCCAAATCCTCCTAAAAAACTTAAACCTGGAAATTATTGGTATGATAAAGTATCTGGCCTTTGGGGAAAGGTAAATCTTTAATAATCTTTCAAAAACCTTTTCATGATTACCATTTCTTTACATGGAAATTAATGGTTGTTTTGATTTATATCTATCAACAGGAAGGAGAGAAGCCTTTAAAGATTATTAGTCCCCATTTAAACGTTGGTGCCCCAATTATGCCTGATGCTAGCAATGGAAACACAGGTGTTTTTATAAATGGTCGTGAGATTACTAAAGTTGAACTAAGAATGTTACAGGTTTGTATTTCTGAATTTTCAAATGATCTATATTTATTATTTCCACTGATCATGTGAATTATTAAATGTTGCAGCTATCTGGAGTCCAATGTGCTGGTAATCCTCACTTTTGGGTTAATGATGATGGATCTTATCAAGAAGAGGGACAGAAAAACACCAGAGGATATATATGGGGAAAGGTGACACCTTTTTTATAGATAGTTTTCATGTTTATGTTTTCTTTGTTTTTGAATATATTTTTTTATAACATAAAGTTTTATTTCAGGCTGGAACAAAGCTGGTTTGTGCTGTTTTATCACTACCAGTTCCATCCAAGACAATTTATCCCACTGGAGATCAATTGAGCAACACACTTAGTCAATCAATCCCAGACTATTTTGACCAAAATGTCCCTCGGAAGCTTCTTTTAATCGGATGCTGTGGATCTGGTACAAGTACAATTTTCAAACAGGCTAGAATTTTATATAAAGAGACACCTTTTACTGATGAAGAACGTGAAAGTATCAAGTTTATAATCCAAAGCAATGTCTATGGCTACCTTGGAATACTCCTTGAAGGACGTGAACGTTTTGAAGATGAAGCATTGAATGATATGAAGACAAACGATATTTCTGGTACTTAATTTTTTACTCTCATACTCCAAAGATTAATTAATTACTCAAACAAATCTTGAGCTTTTTGGAAATGGTGTTGCAGAAAATGAGAAAACTTTGTATTCTATATGCCCGAGGCTGAAAACGTTTTCTGATTGGCTGCTTAAAACCATGGTGGCTGGGAATCTGGAAGACATATTCCCAGCTGCAACAAGGGAATATGCTCCTGTTGTTGAGGAACTCTGGAATCATCCAGCCATGAAAGCCACTTACAAGAGGAGAATGGAATTGGAGATGCTCCCCAGTGTTTCCAGTTATTTCTTGGAGCAGGTATGTATAACAAAAACAATAAAATTACAAATTTAGTCCCTGTGGTATACCAGAAGTTGTCGGGTATATCCAGCTGTTTCATTTTATTGCACATGTGGTCCTTAAAGATTAGTTTTGTTAAAAAACTTTGCAACAAAACTAATCTGTAAGAACCACTCATGCAACAATTACTAGTAATTTACTCAAAAAAAGAAATCTAACAATGTAAGTGATATGTTATTGTGTGTGAATTTTTCAGGCTGTTGATATATTAAGAACAGACTATATACCTTCAGATGTGGACATTTTGTATGCTGAACATGTCACTTCTTCAAATGGTCTTTCAAGCATTGACTTTTCATTCCCTCCATTATCGCCTGATGAAACCAATGACACCACTGATCAACATAATTCTCTACTCAGGTTCGTTTTTTTTTTTTTTTTTTTTAAAAAAAAAAAAAGTTACAATCTTTCTTCTTATAAGTCTGTAAAAACTATAACTTTGTATATTTTAAACCAAACCAGGTTCCAACTCATTAGAGTGCAAGCAAGAGGCTATGGTGAAAACTGCAAATGGCTAGAAATGTTTGAAGATGTTGGAGTAGTCATAATCTGTGTTTCCTTGAGTGATTTTGACCAGTATGCAACCGATGTAGATGGAAATTTAATGAACAAAATGATCCTAAACAAGAAATTCTTCAAGAGCATTGTGACACATCCAACATACGATCAAATGGAGTTTCTTTTAGTACTAAACAAATTTGATGTGTTTGAGGAAAAACTGGAACGGGTCCCACTAACATGTTGTGAGTGGTTCAGTGATTTTAAGCCGATAGTGAGCCGAAACAGCCACAACAAGAACATAAGTAGCAACAACATTAATCATAGTCCTTCAATGGGACAAATGGCTTCACATTATGTTGCTGTGAAGTTCAAGAAGCTGTTTGCATCAATCACTGATAGGAAGCTGTTTGTCTCAGTGGTGAAGGGGTTGGAGCCTAATAGTGTGGATCAAACATTAAAGTATGCAAGGGAGATACTTAAATGGGATGAAGAGAAACCCAATTTTAACTTTAATGAATACTCCATGTATAGCAGTGAAGCAAGCTTAAATTCCCAATGATAATGATCCCAGAGACATTAATGTACATAAAATGGTGAAGAACAAGGTATTCCCAATTTGATTTGGTTTAGCTGTTTGGTTGGTTGGGTTGTATTATAGAATTTTAAAATGAATCAAAATTTAGGTGATGATATAAATGTATGTATGTATCTATATTTGTTTGTTTGACTAGCAAGTTAATTACATCTTGTTTTTACTTCAATGTAAAGTTTCATGGCTTGTTTTGGTTGTGTGCATGTATAAAGCATACATAACCTCAACAAAGTTTCCAAAAATGCAGAATCAAGAAACATAAAGAAACAAATTTTACCCTTTTAAAACTTGTCTTATTAGGTCAAAAGGAAATAGTAAACGGACAATATCAAAGAGCAATTACATGATCTTGATCATTTGGATCAAAAAGAAGAAAAAGAAAGAAAGTTAAGTTGTAGATCTAATGATGGTAACATGAAGAACATTTTGGTGTGTGTGAATCAGCTCAAAAACACAGATATGCCCAACTTCAATACCATTTTCTTTGACAAACATTCTCCAGTCACCATACCCCAAATAATCATCATCATATGCAAGAACTTCCCAAGCCTTTTGTCTTCCACCATTCGCAAGTTTAAGCAAATATTTGCTATGCTTCTTGCCACCACTCCAATACTTCTTTCTGAACTCATTTGGTACACGCTGCATCCATGGAAACACATTAAAAACTCACTCAAGAATCAAGAATCAAGAATGAAGATGAAAACAATTCATTACCAGTCCTCTTTTTTTCACAAGATATGATTTTTGGATGTAAGCAACGAAGAAAGGTTTTTGGGATTTGAAAGTAGCTTTAACTCTTCCAACTGTCAAACTCTTTCTTGAATATTCACCTCCAACTAAAATAAAATCAAGTTATTCATATTAAACCATTTGTGTTGCAAGAAATCAACATCATAGAAAAAAAGATATGGAGAACTAACGCCTTCAAACAAACCATTAATCTTGACCCTAGGGCTTTCATCTTCACTCGATGAACATGTCTCTCCTTCTAACTTTACAGTCTTCAGTTTAGTAAGTTTGACTTCTTGTGGATTCTTTGTTGACATCTCTTTTGTAGAGTTTCCGAGTGGATCTTTCTTCATAGGGGGATAAACTATCTCCGACGCACTTGAATCGAATATAATCACACCAAATATGGAAAACCCTTCGTAGTTGAACACCAACAAATGCCCAAATCTTAATCCGTAATGTTCTGCAAATTCCGGCCAACCATTTTCCAGCCAAATCTCATCCCCTGACTTCTGTAACTCAACTCGCCAAACGTCACCGTTTGGTACCTTCAGTATCACTCTTTCCAACAGATCTTTTCCATGCTTCTCTGTAAACTTCTTCGGCATCCTCTGTTTTATGAAGAAATTTTTTTTTTAATAAATTTTTACGCATCCAGATTCTTATGTGTAAAGGAATATGAACTTACAATGCCTGTAGATTGAGTATCGTCGGAGAGAATGACTCTGAGAAAGTTGACTGGATTCTCCGGCGGAGTCAAACGGCGGTGGGATTTCATGGTGTGATTTGGGAATGGGGAAAAAGGGGAAGGGTGGTGGAGCAACTTCTTGGCTCTTGGGTTTCCGGTTATCATGATTATATAGACTGCATGGCTATGAGGGACGTTTAACTTTGCATTAATGTTGGCTGGAGGCTTCATTAAATATAGAAATTGGTGCTTGAACCTTCTCATTACCCAAATAGACGATTTTTTTTTTTTAATAATTATTATTATTATTTAACCAGCAAATATAAATATATAATCTAATCCTAAATTATCATCTAATTCCACTTATTATTCATGACTGAACTCTCAACGAAATGATAATTCTTTATACTGTTAGATTAGAAGTCCTTTAACAAATAGACAATTTAGTACCTATTATGAGTTTACTAACTTTTTCCAATTAAGTGAGATGTTACCATTAGGGCATGTAGTATATTTTCATGAAGGGGTTTCTTAAATAAATTAGTAGTAAATAAATAATATCTTGATCATCATTTTAATCTTATCAAACCTCTTAATCAATAAAGACTTTTATTTTTTCTTTATTACAATAAAGTTAATATTGATTATTTATAAAATTATTTTAATTTTTTTAAAATCAGTTATCTAAATTATATAAAATCATATTATTATTTATTATTGTTTTTAGACAAAACTTCAAAAATGGTCCCTGTGGTTTTCGAAAATATCAAGTTTAGTCCCTAAGTTCAAAAAACTTCACAGATGATCCCTGTGGTTTCAAAACTTTTAACATTTGGTCCTTTTCGCTAATTCCGTTAGCTTTTGACCGTTAAGTGAAGGGCAATTCTGTCATTTCACTTCTACAGGTACCATTTATGAAGTTTTACCTTGTTTTTTTTTTAAAAGGAAAAAATATAATTATTTAATATTAAAGGGTCCCACCCTTCCTTTTCTCTCTCTCTCTCTCTCTCAGTAAAAAAGAAAGCCAAACCCACATCTCCCTTCTCCGTTCTCTCTGTTTTCAGTTGGGTAAACAAACCCCTAAATCGGGTTCATCCATAAACTCAATGAGAAAAGCCCATAGCTTCGGTTTCCATGAAAAAGAGATGGAAACAGATGAGCAAACATGTTTGCTAAATCTGTTCACCTGATGCTCCGATGTATGCCTCCATTCTCAGATTAATTGTTGTCTTCTCAAAGAACTGGACTTGGTGGCGGTGGTGCTCTTTGTGCTTGTAACTTCGATTAGGGTTTCATCGCTGCAACACCGACGAACAACAGATCTTGGTGAAAGGTTCTCTCGGTGATGATGGTGTGTCCGGATTAAACAAGTGGTGATGCAAAGGATGGAACAGAGGATGGTGGCGTATGTAGGTGGTGTAGCGGTGACGACGACACATAAATCAAAGCTAGGGTTGTTAGCGACGACTTCGTCGATCTCTTTTTTCCGATGACGGCTTCGTTCTTCAGTTAGTGTTTTTGTCTTCCAGATCTAATGAGCATCAAGGGTGATGGCGAGAAAACATATGTTGATCAAATTCCATGTGTGTGTGTTCATCTGATTTCGTTCTTCAGTTTAGGGTTTTCATCAAATTTCATATGTGTGTGTGTGTGTTCATCTGACTTTGTGTGTATATATCTTATCTGATTTTATGTGTGTATGAGTGTATGTTCATTGAATCTGATTTCGAGTGTGTGTGTGTATTCATCAGATAGGGGTGAACTCGAGAACAAACCCATATTTTGTGTATTGTTTTTGTTTATGGATGATTTTTTGGCCGATGGTGGAGGTGGCATACCGTGATGATGGCAGACTGTGGTGGTGGTAGAAGGTGTTTGAATGGTGGTGGTGGCGGAATATGTTCTTGATTGTTCTTGAATATATGAATATGTTCTTGGTGTTTATCAAAGACACACACACACACAGAGAGAGAGAGAGAGAGAGAGGTGGGACCCATTGCTTATTAAATTTTATTTATTTATTTATTTATTTAAAAAAAAAAGTAATACAAAACCTCATAAATGGTCCCTGGGTAGTGAAATGATAAAAATACCCTTTACTTAACGGCCGAAAGCTAACGGAGTTAGCGAAAAGGACCAAATGTTAAAAGTTTTGAAACCACAGGGACCATCTGTGAGGTTTTTTGAATTTACGGACTAAACTTGATATTTTTGAAAACCACAGGGACCAATTTTGAAGTTTTGTCTTGTTTTTATTTTTTACTTATTTATAAATCTTTTAAAATTTTGATGTTGTGATCGAATATATTTCATTTAATATTGTTTATTTTACGTTTGTTATGTTGACATTATATAACGTTGTTTTTGACGTTTTGATCGAATACACATGTAACACTGTAAATTTCAAAATAAATTTTTCGATTTTCTTATAAAACATAATTCGATTAATATTCATCAAACAACCATATTAATTATCCAATATAGATTAATACAAAATCCCAAGATCACAATGTAAAAACTCCGAGTGTGTGTGTACGGATCAAGCCGGCGCCTTCCCGCGGTCGTCACTAGTACCTGAAACAATAACATCAAACACTGTAAGCACAAGGCTTAGTGAGTTCCCCAAAATACCACATATAAAACATATTAGCCACTCGAGGCTATAACTTGGTGGGTCCGTGCACCCAAACTCTGTGAACCCTCAGGTTCTAGCTCTGATAAACATGCACTACATAAATCACATAGAAATAATGCAGTACAACACATAACATACATAGCATACAAATACTCTATCACATAACTCTGGTTACCTACTCAAGGTAATATAGTATAGTGAGAAGACTCACCTCGCGTATCTCGGTATCTCACGAATCCTGGAAATCCCTCGTGCTCGATCCTCCGAGCTCTAATCCTCCTATAACGTTAAATGTTTCTAATTAACACTTTATATCTCTAAGGTTGACTATCTATAAGAAGTCAACACAGGTCAACGGTCAACTCTGACCGGACTCGGTGAGTACCATAGCGACTCGGCGAGTCTAGACGTTTTCACCAACCCTCTGAAATCCTCTTACTACACGTCGAGCATCCCCCCCCCCCCTTTACTCGACGAGTTTCACCTGAATGAATCGCGGGGCCACCCCAACTCAACTCGCCGAGTCTCAAGGACAACTCGGTGAGTCCAAGTTTGACTCAGTCCACTCGTCATCCCTTTCCAACTCACCCTGACTCGCTGAGTCTACCCATGACTCGATTGGACCACGCGCTGAACAGTCCCAAGGCAATCTTCAAGCTACTCGCCGAGTCGGATGAACAGACTCGGCGAGTCCATGCCATGCAACCACTCTAACTCGCTTCTAAGGTCAGATCTGCTTCCAAAAACTATAGATCTGGCCTCCCTCGACTGATTCATCACGTAAAGCTCCTATCTTGGTGCTCACAACACACCCTATAGCTCAATAATGGAGTTTTTGACCTAAGGCATGAGGATTCCAATCCAAAGCCTCCATTGATTCCCAAAAAGCTTGGGTAAAGGGACACTCTGGACCTCTAAGGGTCCAGATCTATGGTTCCAACCTCATAAGGGACCAAAAGGACACTAAATCTTGCCATAAAAGGGTTCAACAAACCCTAAATCTAGATAAACAACAACAAACAAGAAGGTAACTCGGATTTATTACCACAAAAGTGATGCTCTGGACTCCAAACCCACAGAAGTGGCTCCTTCTTGCTTTCCTTTGGCTAGCTCTTCTCCTTCCTTGCAACAATGGCACCTCCAAGGTCAATAATGGCCTCCTACTTAGCTCCAAATGCTCACACTCGATTAGGGTTCACTCAAGGGGCTGGTGAGCACAAATGATGGCCATTAGGCCCTTTAAATAAGTCTCAAACCCGAGAAATTAGGGTTTCATTATACAACGCTGACTCGCCGAGTCCATATCCTGGACTCGTCGAGTCCAGGCGCGATCCCGCGTCCAAATCCGCGTCCCTACTCGGCGAGTCTGAGCTCCAACTCGCCGAGTCCCCCTCACAAACCAGCAAAATACAATAAACAAGATACCTGATAAAAAATCCGGCTGTTACAACACAAATAATTATCAATGGTCCATTACAATATTTAATGTTGTTTTTTTAGGTTTTGTTTGACTATATTATTCGTTTATATGTTCGTGTTTGTTTATGTATACGATTTTAAAGAGTTATATGTTTATTTGATAGACAAATGATCTTATACGTTTCTAAATGTTACTTTTTGTTGGTTTACATTATTTAACTTTATAATTTAATATTAAAAAAGAATAAATTTTCAAACATCCAAACATTTATTAATTAATATTTTAATCTTGGATAAAAATATATATAAGTTTTTGTATAAGTTAATCTGAAACCGGATTTTAATAATCTAAGGCCCTGTTTGCTTACCTTTTAATTGCAAAATTTAGACGCAATGTCTTAAATATTCAGATTCAGATTGTTTGTTTACATCTTATTTTTTACCTCTTAAAATTGTAATTGCCTCTTAATTTTTCAGATATCAAACAAAGTATGAATTTTTAAAAATGAATGTGTTTCCTATCGTGCCCTAAAGGATCCACATTCACCCCAAAACGCAGCGCCTACTTTCCATCTTCCTGCGTCATTCTTCTTCCCTTCACCACCAACTGTGACGATGTCGCCGCACCGTAACACCGTCCCCTCTGACGAGCTGCCTCCTCCAACGACGCCTGCAACAACACCTCCTTCGACTTCGATAATCCAGGTCCGTTCTTCCTCCTTCTTTCCATGCGCAACTCAATTTTTTTTCTTTTCTGTTTTTATTTCATGGATTGGTCAATAAACGAATCATGTCTTTCGTCTTCATTCTTCCTTCTTTTTTCTGATTTTTCTTCTTCGTTCTTCTACCTTCATTATGATTTTTTCAATTTTTTTTGTTCAAATATGTTTTCTGTTTTTATGCTTGATCATAAGTGTTTAATGGATATGATATTTGTAAAGAATTTGTAAGATTTGCTGAAATCAGATTGGTGTTATGCTGAAATTTTGAAATCAAATTTGTTGTTAATGTAATGTTGAAATGTTGAAGTTGAAATCAAATTTGTGCTTGATGTTATGCTGAAATCATATATGTTCTTGATGTTTATCATGAAATATGCATTAGTTTTGCTGAATTGTGCATTTTTTTTGTTGAAATTGTTGCTGAATTGTGAATTTTTTTTTTGTTGGAATTGTTGCTGCATTGTGCCTTTTTTTTTTTGTTGAAATTGTTGTTGAATTGTGTATTTTTTTGTTGAAATTGTTGCTTAAAATATGTATTTGTGTTGTTTAAATTGTTGATGAAAGTGTTTATATATATTTTTTATACTTATTTAATAAATTGATTAGGTTATTTTATAAACAAACACTTGGATTCAATAAAAAATAAAACAGAAGGGTACAATGATCATTTTAATAATTTAGCACAACAATTCAGAGGTTCCAACGAAACAACATGTTAAACATTCAGCTCTTAAAACTTCAGACCCTCTTAGAAATTCAGATCTCTTAAAAATTCATATCCTACCAAACAACCCCTAAATCCGTAATGTTTTTTATAACATAGGAATGTTATTTTGTCAAAAAAAAATGGAAAGAAATATGTTAACCAGAAAATAAAACATAAGTAAAAAGTTTGAAATATCATAAAAGTTTAAATAAAACTTGAAAAATATAAGTAAAAAAAAGGTTTAAAAAACATGAAAAAATCAATAAAAAAGTTGTAGAAAGAGTTTAAATTTTTTGACGTTTAAAATGGAGTTCTAACAATTTAGGAATATTATTTTATTAAAAAAATTATAAAAGTGTTTTTGTAAAATAAATAAAAAGATATGTTAAACATGAAAAAACATAAGTAAAAAGTTTGAAACGTTATAAAAACTTTAAAGAGAAATTTATAAAAGTAAATACAAATTAAAAAAAAACATGTAAAAAACAAAAATAAAAACAACATAAAATTTTAAAAAGCTTACAACATTCTATTTTTTTTTTAAAAGAAAACGTCAATAATGTAAAAAAAAAGTTTAAAAACAATGAAAAATATTAATAAAAAGTTGTGAAGAAATTGAAAAACTTGAAACGCCAAAAGTTTTAAAAAATAAATAAATCTATTAATTACGACTTAAAATAATATATATATATATATATATATGAAATCAATATGCTTTTTAAAGTAGTTGGTATAAACCGGTGTTATGACACTAAAAAATTATCACTTTACATGTCACATCACACTATTAATATGATAACTACAAATGATGATGTCTTTTTACATGTTAGACTAAGCGGTATGGGAGAGCTTCTACACGTGACCGCCAATGTGACAAGATAGCCTACGCGTGAACACCGCCCATAGTGTGCATACGTGCCTTGTTGCGTGACTCCAGCTACGAGCGAAGACGTTTGATTTGAGTGGGGATGCTTTTTTGACCGTTTTTTTTTTTCAAATATTTGAGGACCGACTTTTGTTTCAACCAACTTCAAATGTATTCCAAATATTTGAAGGAACTGCAAATTTGAAGTAGGATAAATAAATCCTGAAAACTAAAGAGTTGCTTCATGAAACACTTTAAGAAAACTACACATTTTCTCAACTCTTTCCCATTCATCGGAGGATGTGCAGGTTTGAAAGTTCGAATCACTCAAGCTCAAATGAGAAAAGACGAGTGAAACGAGGAAGGAAGTGCAACGCATGCTCGCAACAACCACAAATCGATGAGAGTGCAACGACCTAGCGGTGGCAACCGACGAGCTGGAGAAGGCGTTCAGGTTCAACCGACACTCAAACTTAAGATGATCGGTTATCGTTCATCACTTCAATGCAGCGCCACTCCTATTTTGTTTTTGATTTTGTGTGCATTAGGAATTAGGGCAAAGGTGCAATTCAACAATTGTTATTTGTTATAGGAAAGGGAGTAAGTCGTAGGTCAACATTTACAAGTCCTGGTCAATGGTCAATGTCATCACATCCTATTTAAAAGTTAAAACATTTAAAAAATATATAATGTTTTTTATTAAAATCCTAAACAGGTTGGCAGGTCAACCTAATTTTTTTTTTGGCAAACCCATATAAGACCCGTTTAATAAACGGGTTGGCGGGTTGAAAAACTCAACCCAAATTCGTTTATCTTCACGACGGATCATGGGTCCTGTCGAGAATTTTTAGGCCTAATATTTAAGATGGATTTGAAGTGGAGGAACAAAATGGAAGGAGATCTTTCTTGAATATATCAACATATTGAGAAGCGGTGGCACGTGTAGAACTCGAACTTGTCCTAAAGCCACATTAACAAGATGAATGTTAATCTCAATGTGTTTTATACAATGATGTTGAACATGGTTATTAGACAAGTATACGACACTAACATTGTCACAATATACAATAGTAGCAGTCGGTGATGGACGATATGATGAAGCTCAAGTCAGAAGACTGCGATTCCAACATGTTTTTGCTACAAAACCACACAAATAAAACTTTGGTCAAGACAATTTTGTACGATGATGATGAAGCTCAAGTCACAATTTGATTGTTATACATGCCACAAGATAACGCCTTGTTTATAGAATATTTCAAGTTTGTCTTAAACAAAGTTTAATTTGTGTAGTTTTTTTTATAAGATTTGATAAAGTGTACAGTACGTACAATGCAAAACCAACAAAGAATCCAAAAGAATAATCTGGTTTAACTACAAACCAATTTAAAAAATTCCAATATACAAACCATATGGTAAAATCCAAAATTATTAAATCACTCAGTTTAGTTTTATCCCGATACAAAACAATCCTATCTTTCATTACCTCAAAAGAGTAATTCCATCATGTTGATAAAAACGAATGAAAACAGAAGAATTTAGGGAGAACATTTAAGGATGGTAACACCAAGTACATTTTGGTGTTCATGGATTAGCTCGAAAACACATATGTCCCCAAATGTAATACCATTGTCCTTGACAAATTCCACCCAACCAGCACCATGTAAGCGAGTATCATCTGCAATAACCTCCCATGTTTTTGGCCTTCCATCATCATTCACAAGTTTAAGCAAATATTTTCTATGCTTCTTGCGTCCCCTCCAACGCTTCTTCCTGAACTCAACTCCTACAGGCTGCATCCATGGAAACAGATCAAAAAAACTGTTTTCTTAATTTATACGTTGAAAAGATGGATGTAGAATAATTCATGATTACCAGTCCTCTTGATGCAGTAACATATGATTGTTGGATATATGCAATGAAGAAATGTTTATGGCTTTTGAAATTAGCTTTAGCTCTTTCAACTGCCCTTCTTCCGTCCTCCCTCCTCTTCCTTAAACATCCACCTCCAACTAAACTCAAATCAAGTTATCCAGGTTAGTGTCTGTTTCTATATAAGAAATATTCACATCATAAAGCAAAAAAGAATCAAACAAACCATTAATCTTGATTCTAGTTTTTTCATCTTCACTCGATGAACATGTCTCCTCTTCTAATTTTACAGTCTTCGGTTTAGTAAGTTTGACTTCTTGTGGATGGTTTCTTGCCACATCTTTTGTAGAGTTTCTGAGTGGATCTTTCTTCATAGGGGGATAAACTATCTCCGTTGCACTTGTATCGAATACAATCACACCAAATATTGAAAAACCTTCATATTTGAACATCAATAAATGCCCATACTTCAAACTGTAATGCTCTGCAAATTCCCACCAACCATTTTTAAGCCAAATCTCGTCCCCTGACTTCTGTAAGTCAACTCGCCAAACGTCACCGTTTGGTACCTTCAGTATCACTCTTTCCAACAGATCCTTTCCATGATTCTCTGTAAACTTCTTAGGCATCCTCTGTGTTATGAAAAAAAAAAAATTAAAGAAATTTTTATTCATCTAAACTCGTGTAAAGAGAATACTAACTTACGATGCCTATGGAGTGAGTATCGTCGGAGAGAATGATTTTTATAAAGTTGACTGGATTCTCCGGCAGACTTAAACGGCGGTGGGATTTCATCGTTGATTTGGGAATGGGAAGGTGGGGAATTAAGGATGGTGGAGTAAGTGAAGTGTGTACCCTCTTCGATATTTGCGTATCATATTATGATTTAGTAGACTGCATGGCTATGAGAATTTACTTTCTGCATTTAATGTTCAAGTAAATATGGATGTTGCCAATTTGTACTAATTTTGGAGTGACCGCGATCCTAAACCATATTGGTTTGGCTATCAAGTTAGAATGTTTCCTAAATATAGGAATTTAGTATTGGGTTAGGATTTTTCTACCCTTTCGAATCCTCTTTTTGATTGTGATCCGGTTCCCTTATTTTGATTTTGTCCCTCTCATTTTAGTTATGAATTTTACCATTGATTTTGGTAACCTTATCGCTACTTGGTTTTATTTTTATTTTTACTTTTTTGTTTTATTTTAATTATGATTTTATTTATATATAATTAAAATAAAATGTATATAAATAACAAAAGCATTTAAATTTTTGAAGAAAATTCAAATAAAAAATCATATCGATATGATATCAACACCACACACGAACATAATATTATAAAAACATAGTATTATTAAAACCTATGATTTATCAGATGTCAAACTACATGATTTTTTTAATTAATTTTTGCTTCAAAATTTTAATAATTTTGTTATATATATATATATATATATATATATATATATATATATATATATATATATAAAAGTTTAATAGAGAACCATAATTATTAATTCTTTAAGGAACCATTTTTTTTTTAAATTTCTAAAGCTTATTTTTTATTGAAAAAAAATCTATAAATGTCTAAATTCATATATTAACATTGTAAATATGAAAAATATTTTTCGGATTTGAATTTTCAAAAATTCACATTGTGAATTTGACGTAAAAAGAAATTTGAATTTTATATCATTGGAAAAATGATAAAAAGTTATGCATTTCTGTATTTTTTTTTTTTTTTAAATAAGTTCTAAAAGTTGAAAAAAAGATTAGTTCTTTGGTTCCTTGGTTAATTATGGTTCTCTACTGAACCTCACCCTATATATATATATATATATATATATATATATATATATATATATATATATATATATATATATATAGAGAGAGAGAGAGAGAGAGAGAGAGAGATACAATTCAATTAGGAAAAAAAAGTTGAAAAGGAAGAAATAAATCTGGACCATTTATTTCGAATGCATACATTCAATAACGAATTATTAAGTTTCAAAAGACATCCAATAGTTTATGTAAGGGTAAATTACACCATTCTTCTTTCGTACATACGTCAGAAAACGTGTTTAGTCCCTATTTTCAAATATTAATTCGGTCCGTCCCTGATTTTGTTTTTTCTTGCACGGTTAGTCCCTATTGACATAAAATAACTATTTTACCCTTAATAATTTCTTTTTCACTTTTCTGTTAATTATTTATCAGTGTTTAGATTTTAAAAAAAGGAAAAAAGTTAATATCCCAACCCACCCTTCCCCTATCCCCGATTTCTTTCTCCCTCTCTCTCATTCACACTCACAATCGACAACCACCCAACTCCGACGCTCCTCCTTTCTTCGACGAGACCAACCTTTCTCTTTCTCTATTTTTCAATCGCCACCCACTGCAAGTGCTGACAACTACGAATGGTGGTTCTCTGTCGGATTCTTTTGAAGTCCAATGTTCCTCCCCCAATTCTAGCTAAGAACTGCACACATCAGATACTTAATCATGTGTAAGATGAGACTGAAAACCGATGATTTATTGCAAACAATCATCAGATCTTATATGGAGTCTTAAAATCAATACAATTTGATTAACGAAATCCACCAAATCCATTCCCAAATAATCACCAGATGACTTCTTTCTCTCCATTCTTCATCTGCCTCCTACTTACACGTCACCATCCTCCATACCTTCAACTTCTTCATCTTTATCCCTCCACATCCACTGCATTGTCATCATCCCATTTCAATAAACTAACCCATTTCTATATTCAACCTCATCAATATTTAGATTAGAAAAGGAGGATGACAGACATAATGAAGATTTGTGGTCCGTCTAACTCCCCAGTCGAGCTGCATAGTAGCAACACACAAGTGAGGATGCAACGGTGGCTTGGAGGATATCGTGACGTTACTTTCAGGGGATGAAATCGGTGGTGTGAAGGGGACGATATCGGTGTTTTGAAGGGGACGATGAGTACCTCCGGTGAATGGATTTTGACTTCCTCCGGTGGCTAGATTTTGATTTCACAAGAAGGCGAGGTTTTCAGATGAAGATATAGAAACGAGAAAAAAGATTTAGGGTATCTAGCTAAATGAGGATGGGGGTGGGTAAGTGTAAGGCCCACTTCATTTTCTATGTATTTTATTTAATAAAAAAATAAATAATGAAAAAGAAAATAAATACGGAAAATATAGTCTTTTCAAGTCTCGCAAGGGATGAAACGTGAAAATTTAAATTAATGAGGGATGAACCGTGCATCTTTTAAACAAACAAGGGATGGTCCGAGTTAATTTTTGAAAATAAGGACTAAACACGCTTTCTGACATATGCACATGGGACGATTGGTGTAATTTACCTTTACGTAAGTTACTTAATAACAATGCATCTAATTCTAGGAACCATTAATATAAATTACCTTTAACATTAGGGACCAATTAAGAAACTTACCTTTAATTGTAGGGACCATTTATTTAAATTAATTAATAAGAATGCCCTTCAAATAACACATATTTGCCCCTTGAATTCGAAAACCAGATAGGTATAGTCCGTATGGATAATCAAAACGAAAAATAAACATAACATAAAGACAATCCGACGGAATTTTTTTATCACAAAGATACACTAGACGAAAAAAATAACACAATTAATAATCTCGATGAAAAAATAACACATAAATAGTTTGAACGAACAAAATAACACAATAATGGTACGAAAATAATAATAATTAAAAACAAACCTTCATTTTAAGGGTTTTACCCTAATTTTCTTTAAAATCAATTAGGATTTTCAATCAAAATTAAATATATTTTGGTATTAATATATACTTTATTTTCTTAATATTTATATCAATTATAAATAATTTTTTTTACTTTCATTTGAATTATATATATATATATATATATATATATATATATATATATATATATATATATATATATATATATATATATATATATATATATATATATATATATATATATATATATATATATGGGAAAATGACTTATATGGGTAACTATGTTTCAAAATTGTTCAAAAAATACCATTTAAGTTTGGTATATCCAAAAAACACCATCCCTGTAAACCATTTGTATAAAAAACACCAACGAAGTACATTATTTGTTCAAATTTGACCTTGTGGTAACCGAAAATTACCGGTAAAAAATAAGTAAAGGAAAAAAACAAGAGGAAATGACTCAAAGGGGTAACTATGTTTCAAAATTGTTCAAAAAATACCATCCTAGTTTGGTATATCCAAAAAACACCATCCCTGTAAACCATTTGTATAAAAAACACCAACGAAGTACATTATTTGTTCAAATTTGACCTTGTGGTAACCGACAATTACCGGTAAAAAATAAGTAAAGGAAAAAAACAAGAGGAAATGACTCAAAGGGGTAACTATGTTTCAAAATTGTTCAAAAAATATCATCCTAGTTTGGTATGTTGAGAAAACACCATCTAACTAAACTTTTTGTACAAAAAACACCAACAAACTATATGTTTTGTTCAAATATTACCCACCGGTAACTGGCCTCTTACAGGTCAAATGATGACTTAGCTTAACTATTATGACATGGCATAATAATTTTTGACAAAACAATAAATGATATTGACAAAACAATAAATGATATATTCCTCCTTTAAAAATCTATTTAGGGTTTCTTCATGGACGAATGACTTCATTTTCTCCCATGATTGCTCTTCTTGTTATTCTAAAGTGATGATCTCGAACTCAAGTCTAAAACCCTAATTCTAGACTCAAGGCAAAAAGGCTCCTTTACCCCTGCCTCATGGGGCCTCCTTCCCCCTAAGGCCCACATACATAAAATTCCCAAAAAGGCAAGCCCAACTACAAGGCCTCTAAGACTCAATATGACCCAAGAACCGCCAACATGGCATTAAGCCCAAAAAATGACCTGATACAACCAGGTTGATTCGAGGCTTAAGTTAAACAAGTCCATGTATACGCCCAACATATGCTAAAGTCTATACGATCCGGATTTCAAGCCAGTACGCCTGGTATACTCCTAGCGTACGCCCAACGTATTTGGCTAGGGTTAAGAACCGCCAATCTTCTGAATGCCATAAATTCTTCATTCTAAGTCCGATTTCATCCTTCTTTATATCCACGGGAGCTAATTTAGGCATCAGACAACCATACCCTAACAACTCCATCACCGCCACCACTGCCACAAATGGATACTACCATCTTACAAGCTGCGGTAACAGCCACCATGGCAGCCGCCACGGCGTAAATCAGCACGAATAGTGCAAGTGGGTCAGGAGGTGGTACAAGTAATACTAACCAAGGCAATAGCCAAGGGCACCCAAGGGAATGCTCCTACAAAGACTTCACTAATTGTAAACCAAAGTCTTTTGATGGCACCGGAGGTGTCATTGCGTTAACAAGGTGGTTCGAGAAAATGGATTCGGTGTTTGAAATTTGTGCATGCCGAGAGGGAAGCAAAGTCAAATTTGCAGCTTGCACTTTTGCTGACAGAACTCTATCCTGGTGGAAGTTTATGTTAGATAGTTGACCCTCCTAGTAGCCAATGCCTTGAGCCTGGAAAACTTGAAAGCTTTGATGTTAGTTGAATACTACCCGAGGGGCGAGGTACAAAAGTTAGAGCAAGAGCTCTGCAACCTTACTATGAAAAACTATGACATTACATCCTACACTGCAAGATTTAGTGACATGGTTGTATTATGTCCTGGGATGGACACCCCGGAAAGTAAGAAAGTGGAACGATACATCTGGGGACTATCCCCCCAGATTCAAGGAAACGTGATCGCTGCTAACCCATTTATATTTGACAGTGCCAAACGCCTGGCACAAACACTGGTGGATCATGGAGTCCGCCAGGGCTTTATGACAGCCATTCCTGAACAACCCAAAGAAAGTGGAAACAAAAAGAAGTTTTTGAATAAAATGAAGAGCCATTCGTCATAAGAACCCACAAAGAAGCAACAAACGGTTGCAGTTCATGCTGCTACTACTCCTACCA